CAATAATCCTTTGAAGACCGCAGGATGGTCCAGCCCGTAGCGCAGGGCCGCACGGCCGCCCAATGAGAAGCCTTGCAATACCACATCTGTCGTATCAATATGGTACGTGTTCATAGCATAGGCAATACTGCTGTCAATGATATATTGTCCACCGGCAGGTTCAAAAAAATCGGTGTTAGCATTAGCTGGCGCCGGGCATACAAAAATGGTATTGGGGAAGGCAGTATTCCAACCCAGGTTATTCATCAGGTAACTGCGGTAGTTGGCCGGATCATCGCCCAGACCATGCAGGCAGATCATCAGTTTATACTTGTTGGCCGCGTTGTAATTAGTGGGCACATACATAGCCAACTGGCGTTGCTGTCCATTGTAGTTAATGTTGGTGTTGAAGCTTCCGGTTGTCTGTCCGAATACCATTCCTGACCAAAGCAGGCACACCAGCGCGAGTAGCGTTGTTCTCTTCATAGTTTGTATTGATTGTTTATTTGTATTTATTATTTGAAGGGTACTGATTCACTAGTCATCTCCTTCTTCCAACTGAAAGATGCCTTCAACCGTCGTGTTAAAGTAACGGGCCATTTTTAATGCAATAATGGTAGAGGGGGTAAAACGGCCGGACTCGATAGAATGAATCGTTTGTTTAGATACTTTTATCTGCGCAGCAAGCTCACTTTGAGTGATATTTAATTTTGCCCGTTCTACTTTAATGGAATTCTTCATGATCAGATCAGCATCAACAGGAAAAGCGTTGTGGTAAAGACCAGCAAATAGACTAAAAGTCCGCCAATATTTTTAGGAATCGCTTTAATATTCTGCCAGATCGTACGGTCTTCATCCTCGAAGTCCCAGAATTGGTCAAAATACAAGCCCGTATAAAAGCAAAGCAGGTAACCAATGATGCCTAAGCCGACAAATAAAAATAACAGCGAAGCATCTGCCTCAAGCGCTCCTGGTTTTGCCAGGCTCATCGTCAGGGCCATCGCCATCATCGTACTCATCATAATCATAAAGGAAAGCTGGAATGCTTTCAGGCGGACC